TCTCTTCTCCTGTCTGAACMCTCCCAGCTCTCCTTGCCTGGCTCCAGAGCAGAGGGGCTCYRGCCCTGTGCATTAATGAGCCCAGARGTGGCAATATGCARTGCCARGCAAATGGTCASTGTGACCATTTGATGATTTTCTGCCWCCAAAAGGAGAYATCCCTTTCACCTCCAGGTGAGTGTTTGGTGATAACAGCCCTTGTGTGATCCCTGTGGGTGTTAGTCGTGGTATCTTTGTTGGAAAGCCGGGGAAGGATTTTTTGCATAGTGATTCTCTGGCGTGGCCTGTTGTGCAGACAGGCAGGTGTAGGCACTTGGTGTAGGAGAGCATGCCGGGGTGGAGGTGACCGAGACAGCATTTTTTGGGAGCAGTTGCTCATTGCATTTTCCCTAGTTACATTCTCAAGCTGCACCCTGGAACAGAAGAGCTAGAAACCTGTTAATACCATCTGTGGTTTTGGGATTAGGAACATTCAGTGTGCTCCTCAGATGTTGCAGTTTTCAGATCAGCAGGTTCAGATGGGCAAAACTGGGGCTATTTTGCCTCAATGTGYTGCCTGATTCAGGTCATGGTTTCTGAAGTTATTCACGGGTCTGCTGTCTTCACCTCAGGTGTGGAAGCTTTGGTGCAGAGGCAGGGGAGAAGTGTAGGATGGGTGACAGTTGTCCAAGTGTAACGTGTCACTGCATGTCCTGCTGGCACAGTCAGAAGCAGTACCTGGCATGCACTGTTGCTTGTTCGAGACGAGTTCCTGCGCGTGAGCTGAGWCSGTGGCTATGCTGGGTACAGTGGCTYTTCCTGTGTGYCTGCTGACACATGCAGGGATATCCTGGGTCTGGCTCCTCYGCTGTGTAGCTCCTGATTGTTTGTTTGTTTAACTGGTGAAATACTTTTTATAGATGGGTCTGCAGTATGTTAAACCTTTGAGACACCTTAAGTRATTGCACACAGTCCTAGTGCTGTGAGTCTTATGTGGTATGTGTATGGCTGTGTAGCTGCTGGATTAATGAAGTGATTGGATGAAGTGGTGAGTTTGAATTTCTTGACCACTCTGAAGACTTTGTTTACRAGCTTAGATGTGACTCCTTTTCTGTCTTTCCTTAACTTGAAAACTTTGGAAGTAGTAACATCTTGTAATCTATTACATGCTCAGTATCCTGCCACTGCTTGATGTTTGTGTGGGCAGCTTTTAATGGACCCCTCCATCATTAATGCCCAGAACTTGCTTACTTGGAGAGGAAGGAATAGCAATCTAAGATTTCTTATGTTGAATATGCCTCAAGTTAGAGAAGGTCAGTACTTGG